CTTAGCTTCCGTTTAAACCAGAACTAGGCTTCTAGTCTTCTACTGTCTATAAGCCAGCAGCCATATCACCCTGCAACTCACGACTGGCACCCTACTAAAGCTTAGTAGGTGAGCCTGTACAGTATCTGGATGGGGGACTTACTGGGAAAAAATTAAGGCTGCTGCTGGAAGAGGTATTAGAGGGGGCAGTAGGGGGCACTCACCCCGCGGTCTGTGTGGGTCCTAATGCCCCATTATAGTGACAGGGATACTATACTGTAAACAGGCACTGACGTGGGAAAACCAAAGTCCTGACTCTCTGTGGTCATTAAAAATCTCAGGGCATTTCTTGAAAAGTGTAGGGGTGTTACACTGGTGTCCTGGTAAAGGCCAATGGGAAATTTATCCAATCAAGGCCTCCTAATAATCCCTATCTATGAACTGGCTTCATCACTCTGTTCTTGTCCCCACTATTAGCTGATGTGATGGTGAAAGTATTGGTGCACTCTGGCTGCCGTCACATCATCCAGGTGGGGCTGCACACTGGCGGTGGTGGAGGGGATCTCCATGACCTGTAAAGCGCTTTGAGTGGAGTGTCCAGAAAAGTGCTATACTGTATAAATGTAAGGAATTATTAATTATTATTATATTTACAGAGATATTACAAAAGGTTTGAGGAGACATCATTCCAAGTAGAAATTGCCTTTGAATGTCTTTGACAGCAGCAAAATACTAAAAGGTTAGAGAGGCAACAAAACAAGGTAGATTTGTTAAGGCATAGAGCCAGGAGTACACTAAGCACTACCAGACTGGATCATGCTGGACTGAGGAAATAACTGTTTCACTGGAACCTCTGAGCCAGGTGCTAAGCAGAAACACCATCAAAAGTTTTAAGGTATTAAAATAAAATCTATAAAAATGAGTTTCCTTAGCTCTGCTTGTGATTTGTGTCCTGCAAATATTCCAGATAGACCCCATTTTTTCAAATTTACCAAGATTAATAAGCAGCATACTCAGAAAGAATTTGCTACTGGAGCCACATTTCAGTATTTTATTGGTACACAATATCAATTAAAAATGAATAACTGGATGATAATGATTTTTAATTATTAAGAAAGCAAAACTACTCACATCATATATTGTTAACTTTTCATGTCTTGTCTGAGCAATTTCAAACTTTATAGAAATGTTTCAGAATGATACAAGGGCAAGACAACCACAAAGTGTAAATGTCCATATTTTCAGTGTTAAGGATAACCTCTACACATGTATAACAAAGTAAATTTACTGAGATGAATCTATGAAAGAAGACTACTTTACATAGACACAAATACTGTATTAAAATATAAACTAAATCATTCCTAAATTGAGACTTACAGTAAATCAGTTCTTTAAATCTGTTAATACCAGTACACTGAAAATACTTTTTAGGAATTTTTACATGGAAAACTGTTAACATTCTATTTCTTCTTTTGTAAATAATATGAGGCGGTCAGCTTTTAAAAATATTGATAGCATCTTGTAGCAGAATTACAGCCAAACAACATTAGCTAAATAATTGTAGCCACCAAATGAAGCAGACTAAACCAATTGAGAATAAGAAATAATAAGGGTTAAGAGCTGTGATAGAATGATAAGCTGTAGAGACAGTGGTTGTCCCAGACTAGCACTGGGGATCCCTGCTCTTGTGTTTTCATGAATATATAAAAGAGGCAATATACTTATTTATACTGTGTTTGCAGTTTTCTTTGCTTAAATTGAAGTTTTTCATTTAAATTCATGATTTTGATTACTATAATCTACAAATGTTTTTAATACATTTCCCTTTGATGTGGTTCTCTAATTTGGATTTGAGTTATTTTTATTTGCTTAGGCAAACTGATCCGCATCATCCTCCGACAGCTCCTTTATGGCCATCACAGGATTCTTTCGGATACATTGCTCAATGGCTTTAGATGTTTCTTCAGAAGGAGCAGGCAGCACCGACTCCAGGTTTTTGTTGATGGCATCAACTCTCTTCTGTATACTGGCATCAAATTCTTCACGTTTTTTCTCCACAAGATCTTGAATGCCACTCTGTGCCTCTTTACAACCAGCTTCCAGTTCTCTGCGGATTTGGGCAAATTTGGGATCATTTGGCTCAAGAGACATGAGAGTGGTCAGGCTGCTCATTCTGTCCATGAGGTACAAATGGGAGACCTGGACATATGTTTCTGAGATCATGTGAACAAGGTGAGCAACATTACTTGCTTGGAATGCTGGACCACATATCATATCTTTAATAAAATCCAAGTGACAGTAGTTGGGAATAGACCTGACAGATTCACAGCTGTCCACAAATTCAGAGATGTTTTGGTTGAGACAAGTATCAATTAGATTGGTGATCATTTGGAAGAACTGGACCATCTTGGTCCACTGCTCTCTCACACGACCTAATGCATCCAGCCCTTTGACAAGCATGTTAATCGTGGTGTCAAAGTCTACCTTGTCCACTTGAAGCTTTCTCATTTCAATCAATACTTCATCAAACTCTTGGTTACATTTCTTTAGATTCTCAAAGGTTTTGTGGTACTCTTCTCTGCTTTGTTGGAGCTGTTGTTTGCTCTGTGCGATTTTCATTTGACTCAGTTGTATGGTTGATTGCACAAGGCTCCCAGACTCATCCATTCCTGCAAATGTTTTCGACACATGAGGTGCACTTGGACTGATTGCAGGAGTACTTGCTAGTTGACTACTTGCGATGTGAAATTCCTGTGTTTTTGTATTCAACTTTTGAATCTTGGTTAGTAAGTTCTTTAACTTTTGTTCGTCCATCTTTCCTGGCACCACTGCCTTCTCCAAATCATCACAGATCTGAATGCTTTTGTTACATAACTTAATAAAGCATGATTTAATTTCACAATCATCTTCTTTCTCTACAAGTGATTTCAGTTTTCTGAATCCCTTATCCCTTGTCCAATTTGTTTCTACCATTTTACTTCTCTGATCATAAAGTTTTTTCACATCAATGCTTTTGCTCTCAGAAGTATAGTTCAACAGGTTTTTTGAAAATGAAAGTAGCTCTTCAGTTCTTGCCACAATGTTTCTTGTTGCACTCATGTTACACTGTTTCATTTTTTCTTCTGTTTCATTTCCAGTTTTGTGTGAATCTGTTTTTAAACTCACCAAAAGTTGAGGAATACAGCTGACTACTTTCGTTGCTGCAATTGCAAGTCCAACCAATTGAGATCCAGTTGGCATAGAATCAATGGCATCTTTGTATGCCTCTTGAGCTTCTTTGAATTGCCTGTTTATGTCTTCATGATACTTGTTGGCCATTTCTTTTGCTTTTTCTGCAGATTTCTTTCTCTGTTCTGCATCCTTTATAGCCCTCTCAACGTCTTTCAGATTTTCTTGATAAGATGATTTGGCACTCGTGCAATTCTCCAGAAGCTCAGAAATCAAGCTGATTAATCCCTGGAAGTCATTCTCAACATTCTGAGCAAGCTTGAAGCATTTACCTGCCACAAAATTTTATTTTTCTGAGCTGAACAGGAAGCATGGTCTCAACAATTTCTTTATTATCTTGCATGAGTGTCTGAACAATCATTTTTACATCCTTGGGTATGTTTAAGCTGTAGAGACTAATTTGATCCATGTTTTTATGGGCTGTGTTGAATGCTTTCCATCTATCATTGCACACCTGCATCAAACAGGCTCTGAATGACTCAGGGTGTCTTATGTATGTGTATGTTTTATCAGGTGTGTGCTTATTTATTGGAAAATCACATGCAGAAGATATGAATACTAGTTCGCCCAGAATGGCAATAGAAATTGGACCTGGTACTAAGAACTCCCCCCAGTTGGCATATGATCTCATTTTCAGTTCAGTCTCCTCCCTGACATCTTGAGCTCTGTAGATCTTCCTGAGTCCATTATTCATTTTAGACAGAGAGTTGGTTGCCATGATGTGATTCCTATAAAAATGAAAAGCTTTAGTTTCAAGGTATTCTTTCCTAATTTTTACAATTAATTCTTTTATAGATTTGTCTCCCTGCCTTTAATATTGACATAAATTCACAAATCTAATGATAAATCACATTAATAATAATTCTTTTCAAACAAAACTTTGTTTGGTAATGAGTAATCGCCATATTGAATGTGCTACTACAGACATTTTAATTGAAAAGAAGAACTAATGAGATTTGCAATCAGGTTTTGTTAATCTAGTAATTGCAAAATGGCACACCGACTACCGGACTGAATTAGGACCCTGTAACTGAAAAATGGAAAATATTTTAGCCTGTTATGTAGAGTGCTTCAGAAACACCAAGGGATCTGAACTCACCATGGGCCTTTGCTCAATATTTACTTAAGATAAACACCTCATTGTTAATACTAGCAGTAAAGTTTAACAAATTACAAGTGTTCTGTAATATCTATTGAATCTAACCATGTATGCAGAACCCACAGTCTTTTTTCACCATTGTAAAACTATTTTTTAAAAAACATCATAATATACCGATAATAAATAATAAATCCCACACAGCACATTTAATACATTTTCACCAACAAAACAAAGAGCTTCAAAGAAAGCCTTATGGCAAAAGAATTAAGACAACCAGAGCTTCACAGAACTGACTGTTTTCCATCCATAATACAGCAAAGCACTTTTGTTTCGCAATTACAGTTTGTATCAAATGACACAGTTCAGCAAAGTTCCAAAGTGTGTCGATAAGTAATCAATAACCAGCAAAACATGACAGCAAAAACAAAAAAAACTGGGCAGTAAAACATACTTGTTTTACCATGTTTTTACCTTGTTCTTTGTAGAAACCAAAATAAACCCACATGTGCCTAAACTTACTCATCTCCAGGCATGGAGGAAACCAAGACTTATTGGCTAGTGGACCTGTATTTTGAAACTGACTGGTCTAATTGCTTGAAAATGCTGGGATGAATTGTGCTTTCAGCCATTTAAAGCCTTTTATGGAAAGGACTTCCTCCGTGGGGCTTTGGCTGTATTCTAGCTATCAATTATTGACACAGCAGGTGATAATCAAACTGATTCTTATCAGTGGTCATGAGTTCACTCCTGGAGGCTTCATCAAGGTTGTTTTCACAGCCTTAGAGCACAAAATGACTCTCGAGCAGTGCCTAGAGGCTTTCTATAGTAATTGCAATAGCTTTTACACATTTATATTTAATTTTATATTTTTAAAACTTTTTGGGGGTATGCGAGTAATATCATTCCAGGTCATATCCTGAAATTATATAGATTTCCTTTTAATTTTTGTTCAACCTACAAGCATTTTCAGTTATTTGACAGGGCAACCACTTCAAAAAATTGATCTTTGAAGACAAAAAATACCTCTTGTTTTTTTTTGTGTTTTTCTGTATATTTCTGATTTCTGTGTTGCATATGTTTAACACTTTTAGATCAAAGAGCTAAAACTTGGAATTTAGTTTGTATTGCTCGTTACAAAGATCTGTTTCATAAAAGGCAGCAGATATAGTCACATAGCTACTGACATGAAAACTAAACAGCACAGTGATTTACTATTATTTGGGTTTTCAATACAAGAACTATGTAGCAGAAAGGCTTATTAATAATACAGGAATTAAGTTTGCTGCTCCCTTGCCAGTCTCTCTGGCTCATTTAAGTGGTGCTGGACACAAAGAGCCCATTCCATGTGGTTCAGATTTCTGTCTGATAGTTTCCTGATAAGGAACAACTCCCAAGGCTGAGATTCTCCAGCCACCCTAATGAATGGTCATCTCTGGCGCCTTTCTGTCTGGGAGATTCCAACTGAGAGTCTCATCACAAAGTGTTTACAACCCTGAGGTTAAAGAACATTGTTACTAATCCTCCACCTTGATCAGCCAATCAGGAACTGGTAGGGCAGGGTAACGCCACGTGGGTCTCGAATGCCCGTGAAACCTTCAACCAATGAACGACCATGGTTCCTCCTGATAAAAGAGGCAGCACAGGGCCCAGAAGGTGCCCTTCAGAACATTCTCAGACTCATCTCGGACAATCACATGATGGCTAGTGTGTCCGAGTGCCAGGACTTTACTTTGTTCTAAGAGTTGAGACCGGAGGTCACCTGTGCTTAACCAAAGGATCGGCCCGAATTAAGCCCAGCAGCAAGCCTCGTAAACCGTGTAACCCACCGTGAATGTTTGCCTGATCAACGAGTGAACTACGGTCGGAACTGTCGACAGCTGAATTTCAGTATTCAGGACTAGTGCTACATAGGGAATGAACAGGTCTTCTCCCTGTCTAAAGAGTGTGACTTGCTTGGACCCCGCAGTCACTTTTCATGTCCACTTTTCACAAACTCTGCTAGTTCAGCCAGGACTAAGTAGCCGGTCTTCAGAGAGTCACTGCTAGCGTGCTGCAGTAGCAATCCCTCCCCTCCTTCTCCCACACCTCATGCCTGACCAGCACTGCCTGGCACCGGGCCAGAGGACGCCGATTGGACGCAGCAAAGGTCTGTTGCTGTCCCCTTGTGTCCACAGGAGATCTGAATCCACATAGATTGGATGAGTATTCAAAATTCTGCATTACAGCTCGAGAATTCAATTGTTACCTCAATCCCAGTTGATGTCAATTTAATTCCTATGAGTTATGTACCTGCTTTTAAGTATCTAGTGTAGAAGTTGTGATTAAAGCTCATTAACAAAATGGTATAAATGAATGGCATACTGAATGTATGTGTCTTTTGGTATTTGTAACTCTTCATGATTGAATATATATCTTTTGTATTCTGCTAACCCTCACTATAAGATCTGTTATGTTTATATGAACTTTTTATGTATTCATAAATTTATTCTTGTGTATCAGTATCCGTGTGTGTGCATTGCTGAGTTTTTCCGCAAGGTCGATTTTCTAATAGCTATCAAAGAATCATTTTGTGATTTATTGCTACAATTAATAATTGTCCCAGTACATGCACAAAACCCCTACAACTATATAAAAGGTCATGCTGCTTATTGTATTTGTACTGTATACATTATTAATACTAAAATTCAATAATGAATGTTATCTAGGATTAAAATTTACATTCACCTAAATATATTATAATAATAAACTTTATTTTATATAGCACCTTTAAAGGTGGCTTTTCATAGTGCTTTACAGGATGACAACAAAAAAATTAAGAAGAATGCACAAGATAAAACACAATTATAATATACAGAGGAGACCGTGAATGGTGGTACTAAGAAAAGCAGAGGGGTGAAGAATGGAACCAGTTAAGTAAAGGCTTTTCTAAAGAAGGTTTTGAGTCTGGATTTGAAGGAGTTTAGAGAAGGTGGCTCTCTGATATCCTTTTACACAGAGTGTAGACGGGCTTGGGGGACAGACCAGAATTAGAAGAATTAGAAGAGCAAAGGTTGTGAGGTGGGGAGTAGGACAATAAAAGTTCAGACAGGTACTGAGGTGCCAAGCCATGCAGAGCCTTATAGGTGAGCATGAGGATTTTACAGTCCACATGGAATTTGACAGGAAGCTACAAAGACTCCAGGATAGGAGTAATGTGATCATTTGCACTAGACTTAGTCAACGTTCCTAACTGAGGGATGAAAGTAACAGTGTGAGGTTAGCAGGAACCAAAAATAACACAAAAAAGGTGAAAAATGAGACAGAAAGCAAAAAAGAATGGTGTGCCACTGTGCCTCGCAATATCCAGGCTAGACTTGCCCTATGCAACGGGGTAAAGCCTGGGAAAAAGAAGCTGGTTAGCCACAGCTGTGACCAGACTGGACTTAAACGGCGTTCAGTTTGGAAAAGCAGGGTGCGTAAGGCTAAAATGAAATAAAAACTCTGCCTACCCCAGTTAACATAAGTGACGGGCAAAAAGAAAAGAAAAAGAAAAATAACACCTTATGCAGGTATAATCCCCTCCTGGACTGCCGGTGAAAATAAAACTCCCTCTTCTGGGGATGGCTCCATGAGTGCTGGCTAGGAGAAAGCAAGATCCTAGCAGGAATATCCTTGCAGGAAAGGATTTGAAGGATTTGAAGACAAGGAGCCTTGGTCATTGCTGTGTCGACCTGCTGGT